AGTGCCCATCTTTAAGAAAGGGAAGAAGGAGGACCCAGGGAACTACAGACTGGTCAGCCTTACCTCAGTCCCTGGAAAAATCATGGAACAGGTCCTCAAGAAATTCATTTCTAAGCACATGGAGAAGAAGATCATTAGGAACAGGCAGCATGGATTCACCAAAGGCAAACCATGTATGACCAATCTGATTGCTTTCTATGATGAGATGACTGGCTCTGTGGATGTGGGGAAACCAGTGGACACAATGTACCTTGACTTTAGCAAGGCTTTTGATATGGTCTCCCACAACATTCTTGCAAGCAAGCTAAGGAAGTATGGGTTGGATAAACAGACAGTAGGGTGGATCGAAAACTGGTTGGATCATCAGGATCAGATGGTACTAAACAATACCTCGTTCAAGTGGAGTGCCTCAGGGGTCAATCCTGGAATGGTTTTGTTCAATATCTTTATAAACAACCTGGAAGATGGGATGGAGTGTGCCCTCAGCAACTTTGCAGATGACACCAAGCTGAGAGAAATTGTAGATGCACTGGAGGGTAGGGCTAGGATTCAGAGAAACCTCAACAAATTGGAGGATTGGGCCAAAAGAAATCTCATGAGGTTTAGTAAGGGCAAGTGCAAAGTTCTGCACTTAGGACAGAACAATCCGGGATTGATTGGCCGGGCATCAGCTCTGCAGAAAAGGATGTGGGGGTTGCAGTGGAGAATAAATTGAATATAAGCTAACAATGTGCTCTTGTTGTGAAGCAGGCCTACAATATACTGGGCTGCATTAATAGAAGTGTTTCCAGCAAATTGAGGGAACCGTTTATTCTCCTCTCAGCACTGATGAGGCCAATCTGGAGTCCTGTGTCCAGTTATGGGCCCCCCATTACAGAAAGGATGTGATTCAACTGGAGAGAGTGCATCAGAGACAATGAATATGGTTGGAGGGCTGGGGCATATGACTTCTGAGGAGAAGCTGAGGGAACTGGGCTTACCTAGTCTGGAGAAGACTGAAAGGGGATTTAATAGCAGCCTTCCACGACCTCAAGGGTGATTCCAAAGAGGATGGAGATAGACTGTTCTCAGTGGTGGTAGACAACAGAACAAGGACCAGTGGTCTCAAGTTGCAGCAAGGGAAGTTTAGGTTAAATGGCTGCTTGTACACGCCACGGGGGTTTACTTCTACTAAATTGAAGCGGTGGGTCTTTAAAAACCCCGCTTCAATTTAAACCAAAGTAAACCCATGGCATATATGCAAGGGTCAAGCCCGATCCTTACCTGTCTCTCTGGCAGCAGGGGGGGAGGGAGGAGGGGGGGCGGGCAGCAGGGAGGCAGTGCTTCCCTCTGCAGCAGCGCCCCTCAGGTAGCACCCGCCCGCCGTCACCTGGCCTGGGTAGTCCTGGGGGCCCCTGCACAGCTGCAGAAGGAAGCACCCAGCCTCCGAGCAGCCACAGAGGAAAGCACCGGGCCCCTGCACAGCTGCAGAGGGAAGCACAGGGCCTCCACGCTGCTCAGGCAGGCAGGCTCCAGGGAGAAAATAAAAGGGAAATGGCTCACCGTTTTTTTTTTTCCCCTTCAGTGGAGACTGCCTGCATGGCCTGCCCCCGGGCTGCCTGCACAGCCCCTGAACTGCACGGGACCTAGTGCTTACTTCCGCGGCTGTAAGGTAGCAAAACGAAAACACCTCGGACATGTTTTATTTTGCTACATCCCAAAGTCATTTAATGCGCAGTACACTGCCGACAGTGTAAACAGCAGCGCCATTAAAGCAGTGCAAAAGGGCATTTAAGCCGCTTTAAAGGCCAATTTTGTGGCATGTACAAAGGCCCAATATTAGGAAAAACTCTCTCACCAGGAGGCTGGTAAAGCATGGCAACAGGCTGCCCAGAGAGTTTAAGAGCTGGCTAGACAAAGTTTTGGCTGGGATGATCTAGTTGAGGATGGTCCTGCTTTGGGCAGGGGGTTGGCCTAGATGACCTCCTGAGGTCTCTTCCAACCTTAATTTTCTATGGTTTTATGATCAGTTCTGGTGGCTGGTGCTTTAATATGGACACCTGTCTGATAGGAACTGAGACCACTGAACTTGTCACTTCATGGAGGCCATAATGACTCCACATTCCTCTGAGCCCTCTCATCCCTTAGCAGAGGCAGTAAAGCTCTATTTGAGTGCTATGGAAAATAAGTCACATGCTCTGACCTCAGGGTCCTGACAGCAAGCACCACACTGCACCATTTTTTAGTCAAATGGTGGATGCCAAGGAGAAGGACACAAAAGAAATAGATAACAAAAGGATAAAGGAGACAGCAACAGGAGTCAGGAAATATAGAAAAAAAGGCACCAGCTAGAATCAGTATGGATCAGCCAACAGACAAGAAACATTCAATGGTGAGAGACTATTTGGGTGGGGTGAGAGGCTTGTCTCCATGCCCCAGATTTCTGTCTTGGCAGAGCAGTAGACCCTCAAGTACATGGACATACTGAGCTGGGGCATCAGGCAGCAGTAAACATTTCATTGGGACAGAACCCACACAGCCTTTTGCTCCCAACACAGACCCCAAGCAAGATGTAAAAGCAACTCCTCTTGTGCAGAGAGCGCATGTACACACACAAGCAGGCCTGGCATATCCTTTTCACTGAACAGCAGAGAATGATAAATGCCTAATCAAAAAACACAGGTCAAAGCAATGGTGTGATGTCAAAGCAGACATCAGCGTAACATCACGATGCAGCACCACAGCATCATAAAACAACTGTTCCCCCTGGAGACTAATACATCCTCAACCATCAATAATGTTGGTCCTTTGAGGATGCAACTGGAACAGAGCATGCTTCATAACTAGGGCATTACGAGTTGGTGGCAGCATCAAGACAGCACACAGGCCTATGAGGGTCTGACTGATTCACAGACCCTGTGCATGCTAGAGGGAAGGAGCTCGGGAGGGGTAGGGGGGTGGCTGGCTTTGTCTGGAAGCAGGAGACAGGAGCTCCACTGCCCTGTCAGTGAGTACACAGACACCTCTCCCCAAGGCAGAGGGGAGGAGGGAATTCCTGCTTAGTAGGGAGTGGGGAGGGGGAGGGGGGGCAGCCTGGAAGTCTCTGGTTACAGTTTTAAACAAGTTTCTGATCACTTAAACCAGTTTGTGTGTAATGTCTGTCCCTAACCTAGAGCCCAAAAACCTGTGAAAGGAGAAAACCAGGATGCCCGGGTCCTCCCTCCTCTACTTTTTCCTATATCAAAGACAGGATGCACAGACAAAGTTATACACAACCAGGATGCTCTTGACAGAAGGAAAATGGATTCACTCTCTGAGGGGGTTGCTGAATCTGGCACCCAGGACCCATAAGGGCATCTAAAGAAGCAAGGTCTGCCTGGGTCACTAGTACAGAATGATATAGCTTTAGGTCAGATAGGAAACAGTGTGTGCATGTCTGTTTGAAAATTCTTCTCTCTAAACAGGTTGTTCCTACTGTTAAGATTGAAAAATACCTTAGTTTAAAAAGACTGTCCAATTTTGGTCTTAACCACTGGGCTCAGACTCCTTAAAGGAAAAACCATAGCTGCGGACCCACCTAGATTTGTTAGGTAAGCATGGTTGATACACAAGGAACTGCAGCTCAGAGCTTGATATGAGAGAGGAAGAATCACGTGATTCCATCCCAGGAGATGTGAAGGCACAAGGTCTATGCCTGAGGGAGAGACTGCAGAGGTCAGAAGCACAGCTGGTTGCATAACCATGACGCTCTTTATGGCAGCTTCTTGTTTATTGTTATTCCCTTGAATCATCTTTAAATCCAGCAAAGATAGATCCTTGACCACATCAGGAGGAATGGGCCCTCAGAACCTTCTGTCCTCTTGACCACTCCGTTGGTCACAGAAAAGTAATTCATTATTGACCTTTGGCGGAAACAGATCCCTTCAGTTCAAAAGGCCTAAGTGTGGCAATGTGAGTTTTTCTGACCAGAGGGGCTGAATGAGAGAATTCCCCCAGCTGCAGGAGATCAAAGGATCTGCACTCATAGGGCAGAAACTAAATTAGCGGCACCTGAAAAAGTCCCTGGTACCTCCATGTCCCTGGCCATTGGCCTATACCCCACGCACATGCAGAGGCACATGAGCACTCACCCTCTGCTATAAGTGTGATATGCAATGTGCATAGATATTACTAATGATAAACACAACAAGCACAGGGCACACACAGGTATTGTGGCATCAAAAGACACTTCATGGGGCCAGGCACACTACAGTATACAGAAACATGAATAAATAGCCAACTGATTTAAAAACAGAGTTGTGCTCACATAACACTACTTTTCCTATATCAAAGACAGGATGCACAGACAAAGTTATACACAAATTATGTCGTCCATACATGCATGATGTTCAGACAGACAAACGATGATGGGCATATAGGTTACACAGAGAGCTCACACATGGCAACATTGACATTCAGCACATGTATTCACATGCAGCTGGCTGGAGAGGGGAACACATGCATCACAAAGCATACATATATAGTGACATACATACAACAGAGGGACAGTGATATTCATGCAAACCCCACCATTAGAGCCACATAGGGTACAATAGGCCCAGCATATGAACATGTCTGCCTGAGTAGATCCATCCATTTACATATCTATAGGGAACAATCATATGTGGGAAATTCACTGGCACTCACTCAGAACAGACCTGAAAAGCCACAAAGACTTGTCCCCCTTTTACTTACTAGTCAGATGTCCCAAGCAGCGCAGTGTCTAGAGGCCAGAATCAGCACTGGAGCAGCCTCTACTGTTGGGAGCGGTACATTCCAGTGTATTTTTTGTGGCAGTGCCCCAGGCATTAGCCTCCCAGTCCCTGTCTTGCTGCAAAGGTGCATTCAACAAGCCACACATAACCTGCTCTTACCACTATGGGTTAGAGCAGCTAAGGACTGGTGGGAGTTCATCACACCAGTGACTTTCAGCAGCTTCTGAAGACAGAACAAACTTTGAGTTTTTTAAAAAATGCACTTACTGATTTGAAGACAAGCCAGCTCCGTCCTTTGTGGCAAGGTGCTGCCCTTCTCTCCCAGCCCTGGGAGCCTGGCTAGTAGCCCTCAGAGCAAAGGTAGACCTTAGGTCAGAGCAACGGAGAAAACTTTCAGATGTAAGGGGTGGAGTTGGTGCCCCCAGCAACAAGGAAATGTTCTGTGTATGGCTCAGAGCTCATCTCTCTCTCTCTCTCCATGCTACAATGTGCTTATCCCCTGTGTGTCCCGTGCCCCCCCCCCCACTCCCTGAACATCAGGTGTACTTCACAGGAGTTAATCACAGAAGGCTTTGTGTCTGGGGAATGAAAGGGGAGGACAGATAAAAGCTCCACCCTCTCCTCCAGTACCTCTGCACCTGGAGCTGCTCCACTTCCCTCCGAAGTCCCTCACTCACCATCACCCTCTAGCTCAGTGATTCTTAACCAGAATACCTCAGCAGCCTGGGCTGCCACACAGTATTAGCACTGTTAGATGTAGCTCAGAGCACAAAGCCCAGCATGCAGCAGCAGCTGCCTTGCCCTGAGCACAGATTGGGGGGGCACATGCCCCCTGGGCTTCCACCGGGATGCATGCAGTGGTGGGAGCCCCCACTTCCCATGCACCTGGACAACCCAACCCTCCCCTGGGCCCCACTCACCCCTGCCCCTGCCCCATGCCCTTCCTCACTGCAGGGGCCTTGATCTGCCCCCTCCCCCAACTGACCTGCTGGGTAGGTAGGGGGGCAAGGACAGGGGGGAGGGGGCAGACCAAGGGGATGGTGCAGTAGGCCTGGATTGCCCTTTACTTCAAAAAGTGATCTTCACCTTTAAAAGGTTGGAGACCACCGTTCTAAATGAATCCCCACTGGCCTGGAACAGATATTCCCTGAACCAAGGTGTCCCTTCCTTCCCTTCCCTTCCCTTCCCCTTGCCTCTCATGCCCAGTATTTCATAAAGCTTTAAAGGAACAGAGCAACTGGAAATAACAGCCACCCTTTACACTTCTGTAACCACTCTGAGTCCACAGATCTCCAAGCCCTTGACAAGCTGTGACAAATGCTTCAACCCTCCCCTGCCTTTCTGTGATGTGCACAACTGGATGAGCGCCCTGCAGTGATGAGTACTACAGCATAGGAGACTGAGAGAGACCATGAGTTCTGTTTCTACATAGTGCTTCCCTGACCTATCAATTGCAGTAAGGAGCAGAAAATAAAATAAAATAACCATGGCTTTCTTCCTGGATGGTCTCAAATTTTGGGGCTGTGTCCTGGTGCCCCAAGAGACTCCCTGAAATGGGATTTTCATCCTGGATATGAACAACTGGGCCTGCAGTGGCACCAGGCAGCAAACAAGATGGGGCCCAGAGCTGGCCAAGGTGAGCCTTGCATCAGCTGCCATGAAACGGACTAGCAGCCATTAGTTTCACAGCTGCTATTCAGGGAGTTTTATTAGTAGCAACCCAATACTGAGCCTTTGTGTATGGACCGCTGAAGGTAAACCCTGGCCCTGACCTGCAGGGACCTGAAAGGATACAGTATAACACAGCCTGGCATCACAGCTACCACCTGACTGGGGAGCTACATCCACACAATTCTGCACTCAGACCAGTTAATCAGCTTGGCCTCTTAGCAGAGCCAACTTGCTTGTCCACAGCACTGCTCTCTGGCAACCACAATAATTGGGGCCAGAAGCGATGTAAACTACTTCAGCTCTGGAGGTCTGTGGATTGTCAAGTGCTGTGCAACAGATTTTGCTCCTTGGAAGTTGGCTGCATTTGAATACAGCAGCCCAGTTGTTTCTTTATTGTCTGGACAGCACTATAGAAGTCAGGCAGCCTGAAAATGTTAGGAACCATCAATTTGTTAATCTCCTATGCCCCAGTCTCAACAGACATATAACCACCAGCAAAAGCGAGCTGGTCAAGGTGTAAACTACCCAGAAGGCAGAAATTAGGCAAGAGAAATTTCATGTGGTCATTGTTTTTAAGAAGCTGTTATTTTTTTAGGAGACCACTCTAATAGGCAAATAGCCAGTTTCTACATGCCTGAAGTGCAGGAGAGAGATACCTACCCAGTTGCCGGGGGGGGGGCTAAAATGTCAGAAATGGCTGTTTTTTTAGCAAAATCAATTTGCCAACTCCTGCAATGCTATTGTGAATCTCGCAGCACATTGTTTTTCTAGAAGCCCCAACATCTGGAGTCATGTAAATAACCTGAAAGCCTCAGCTTTCATTTAAAACAATAACTTAGCTTCTAGCTCTCAGTTTCAAGGAAAAGCTTGACAATGTGGAAACCTAAAGGCTCAAAAACTAGTGGAGAAAGGGAAAAAAAGTCATTATTAATCTGAAACTTGATGATCGTTGTGGGGGCTGATGCATATTTTAATTTCCAAGGCTGGCAGATAGACAAAGATACCAACCTATCTTGCCCAGGAGCAGATGGAGTGGCACAGGTGGTCTCACAGCCCACCGCTGCACAAGCAGAGGTGGGCTGAAAACGGGCCAGGCACCTACCTTCCATCACAGAGCAGGACACAAGCATGCCATTCAGCAAAAAATTCTAAGGTTTCAGCAATTAGGTTTGTTCCACACTAAAACATTTCTGACCAGCTCAACTAAACTGGGGTCTCTGAGGTTGTTTATGTGGAATTGTGGAAAGAGCTGGAGCAGCTGAGAAGTGCCCTCCGTCTCCCAGTTTTTTCACAACCACAGGAGTGCAGTTCTGCAGGGAAACCTACTAGCAGGTGGGTTCCTGACGGTGCCACCCTTCATTCTCCTAGGCTTGCCCTGCTTCTTAAATCTGTATGGTGGCAGGAAGGCCACTCTGGTGAACACACACACACAGAACAGAAGCCTGGGGGACTTTATCTGATGGATCTGAAACACTCCCCCTCTTCAGCCCAGAAAAGGCAGGTTCTGAGTTCACCAGTATGGTGCAGAAGAGAGGAGTGGGAACACACACACACCAGGCACAGAGCTCACAGATGGCTAGAGAATCTCCACGGAAACATGGCAAGCTTGTTTGTTTCCATACCTTTGATCCAAGACAAGTGATTCCCCAGAGCAATACTTTGTTACATAACATGTTCCAAACACCCAGTACATGCAGCTGCCTCAGCAACTTCCCCTTCCTACCCAGCCTCCCTCAGGAGGGCACAGGCCCACCATGTGACCCACGCATGAGACAAAGCATGCCAAAGGCAAAAAATGGAAAATGGCAAGTAAAAAAAGGCAAAACCTTCTCCAAATGTGCTGACAAATGAGCAGCATCTGCGAACATGCCCCTTGCAAAGGCCAAAGCCAAGGATCCTCTGTGGAAATGATCATTTCAGACAGGGAAACTGAGGCACGGACATTCAGTGATTAGGCAAAGACAACTGTAGGAAAGGCCCCTGTAGGAACTGTATCAGCTAATGGCTCCCGGTATCCCCTGGCTTTGTATCTGCTCAGCCTCATTCTCCCTCCTTAGCAGAATGGTGGCAGGGAGAGGAGATTTAAGAAGAAATCTCTCCCCCTCCTCACCACCCAGTTCACTATCTGCACACACACAAACAAGGGAAGATGATGGCTCCATTCCCACCCTAGCCCAGTAAGTGCCCCGTACATACAGACCATAGGGCCACCTCCATACCAACTAATGGGACCTTTCTGAATAGCTGCAACTGATCAAAGCAACCTTCTTCACCCAGCCACGTCTCACTCCCTCCAGCCTAACACACAGAATCACACGGCTCGAAACAAGGATGTTCTGCATGGAACCAGTTGCACAAGCTGGCTGAGAAATATGGCCATTGGGATGATGTTTTATCTATCCATGAACAGACTGGCTGGGGGAATGACAGACTACAGGGAAGAGCTGTAGAGACAGCACTGGCACCTCAGGAAATGTCTACATCATATTCCCAGCATTCGTATGTAGCATTGCTCTCAAACACAACCTACCCAACCATTCCCACCCGAACCTACCAAACCAAAAAATGGGAGTGGTTGGCACCTCACCACTCAAGAACCCCAGGATGCTTGAGAAGCAGCAGAGGCATCTCAGTTGTACCGATTTTAAGTCTGCTATTATGAATTAAGCTTGTTATTACACATATATATAGCAAAACAAGTATTCTTTTTTATGATACTGGGATGTGTGGGTAAATGAGTGTAGACTGATTACTAGAAGCAGGGTAAGCTATGTGTTAACAAACAAGTTAACAAATTGTGAACTATGCTAAGAAAAGGCTGAAGAGGCAATTCTAAATCCAATCTGTACCAGGCGAGGAATGAAATAAGCAGAAGAAACAAGATTAAAGACACTGGCTTGTAACCCTTCAAGGCTAAAGACCCCATCTGCACCAGACAGCCTACATCAGTGATAATGGAAAATGTGGTAAACAGAGTGCTTGAAGAGCAACACCTAGGACAGTGATGGATAAGCCTGACCACTTGTCAGGATGGAAAAGTACTGAGATTCAAGCAAAGGAGGCACAGAGTCAGGAAAAGTGGAATCGGTCACCCAACACCAACTTGATGCCCCCTATAAAGCGGGGAGACTTAGCAGCAAGAGTTGGGTAACACTCTGCATATTTTACTGGAGCACAGACATGTGTCTGTATGAGGCTCCACCCCTCATCTCGTACTTCTAGGCTGCCCACCTTCCAACAGACTTTGGTAACTATAACATCTGCAGAGTAATTGGGAGTGTGTGTGTGTGTGTGTGTGTGTGTGCGCGTGCGCGCGCGCGCATTCTTTTAAATATTCTAATCAATAAACATAGCATCTTGCCTCATCCCTCTTTTAAAGTCTTTTTTCATGTGAGCAATTAATAATTTGTGCAACACACTGTCATTTTACCACCTCATTTCTGGGTTTGGAGCATGCAGCCAAGCAAGGGAAGGCAGGGTGCTTTTTCAGAAACACTGGATACATGGTAGACACAGCTCAGAATGCATTACTGGAGGGTCCCTTGCCCCATGCAACCCATTCTGAGAAGGCTAAGGTCTGGCACTGCAGTAGAAGGGGATTACGGCGAGAGATGTTTCCATCACGTATAACAGCCTTTTCTCTCTTCCTCGGTGCCTTCTGCTTTCCCATCTCCCATGGTCTTTGTAAAGGCCACAGAGCACCCATGGCTGAAGAAACACTGACTTCCTTCTCCATGGCTCCATTCCCACACTCATCTTTGTCTAGTAGTAGCCCATCTCCTTTGGCTTCTCCAAATACCTCCCTGCGTGCCAAGTGAGATTTGGGGATGGGTTAATTGAACCTTTAAATCTGAACTGGATTCTCCAGGAGCTACAAAATCTGAAGTCATCACTGTGCTCATGCATCCTACAACCCTTGTTTTACCTGTCCTTGTATTTTTATTGGCTCATTAGTCCCCACTCCACTCATCTTGAGGCTGTGATCAAGCACCACTTTCAGTGTAGCCTGGCAATTCATGCAGGGCTAAGAGTCAGGACTCCTAGGATCCATTTCATCCTGTCACTGATCAGCTGTTAAGGTACTTCACTTTCCAGTGCTTCTGGAATGCAAAAAGTAGTGCCCATCTCAAATGGGCATTAGCTGGATCATGCAGTGGAAGGTGGTATAAAACTACCAGGGAATATTTTAAAGGAATGTTCAACATCCTCATTAATATTTTGGATGATGGTTTCAAGGGCAGGCTTAGCAAATTTGTGAGTGACAGCAAGCTGGGTGGAGCTGCAGACACTCTGGAGAGCAGGGCTAGGGATCCAGAAGGATCGGAGTAGACTGGAAAAAGTGGTCCATGATCAATCAGATGAGATTCAACCGGACCAAGTACAAAGTCCTACATTTGGGACAAAATAATTGAATGCACAAAAACAGACTGGGGAATGAGTGGCTAGGCAGCAATACTGCAGAGAAGGACCTGGAAGTTATAGTAGCCCATAAGCTGAATAGGATCCAACAGTGTGTTCTTGTTGCAAAAAAAGCCAATGGCATACTGTGTTCTATGAACAGGAGTGTCACTTGCAAATCAAGGGAAATGATTCTGCTCTCTGTAGCACTGGTGAGGCCTCACCTGGCCACACTTCAAAAAGGATATGCACAGTCTGGTAAGAGTCCAGCAGAGTCCAGCCTGGAAAGCAAGGCTTATGAGGAAAGGCTGAAATAATCAGGGTTATTTAGTCTGGAGAAGAAAAGACTGAGAGGGGATTTGATAGCAGTTCTCAAATACCTGAAGGATGGTTACCAAGAACAGGATGGAGAGGGGGCCTTTTCTCCATGACCACAGGAGACAAAACTAGGACCAACAGCCTCAAGCTGCAGCAGACAAAATTTACATTAGAGATTAGAAGGAACTTTCTGACTACGAAGGTGCTCAAACAATAAAACAGGCTACTTACAGAAGTTATGGAATCTTTATCCTTAGAAATTTTCAAGAGTGGGTTGAACAGACGCTTGACTAGGATGACTTAGCTACAGACAATCCCACCTTAAGCAGGTGACTGGAATCACAAAAAATTGTCCAGGACTCTTGGGCTGCTGTAATTTGCGGGTATTTTTACACTGGCTGGCCAATTCAGTCAACATGATCTTACAAGATGAGGATGTTGAAGCCATAGTAAGTATACACATGGCTTAGACACCCAGCAGGAGGCTACAGAGTTGCAGTCCAGAGGACAAAACCTTACTCAAAATTAGCTGTGTTGATACAGTAAGCAGGTCTAGAGGCCATTGGCATATTCTGCCATGTGTGTTTAAACAGGCTCTTTATTGATTGTTATTTCCAGATTTTCACAAACCTACTAGGACACAGGCCTCCTACAAAAAAATTACACTGCACCACTAGCAATCAGTCTGCAACTACCCTCCAACTAGCCAGCACAGGCCTGATCTTGGAACCACCCTCTTCTCCAAATGCCTGACAGGAGCTAGAGGGCCTTGGCCACCACACTGGATCAGGCCTCTTCGGTCCATGCTGTGGACTGAAAAAGAAAATAACATCTCCTACAGTCAGTGGCTCCAGTTACAGGGAAGTGGGAACCACTGCAATGCCACATAACATTGCTAGCAAAATTAAAGCATGGATTGTAGAAGATTCTATCTTGAACTACAGATGACTGAAGTGATAGATCCCACTGGATCCATGGGTCTGTTCACTAGAAGTGAGAGGAGCTGGAGTGCAAGTTCTGCAGACCAAGAGAAAGCCCAACCACTCCAGAGCAACAAAGTAGGTAGTAGCAACACAAATCAGCTCATCCCATTCCTTAACCTCAGGTAGGAACCACCTGAGCTGACAGTCATCCACACACACACCCACGTACCCTCCCTGACTGCAGTAGGAGTTGCCCGAACAGTCAGCAGATCCTAGCTTCTGTTGCAGTAAATCTCCATATTTTCTTTAGCTTAGACATTGGCCTCAGGGGCAGAGTTTTGCACCTATGATTATTTATAGAACTGTTATTTTTCATTTAGAAATCCAAGTACTACCAGATTTATAGGCATAGACAGGGGTGCAACTTGCATCATTTGAACATCTAAGTATCTGTGCCAATAAATCAGGTACTTGGACATTTAAATGACCAAACTTGCACCTACAGTTATTTATACATGGAACAAGAGAAACCAAGTTAAACCTGGGTTAACCATCTGGCCCAGATTTTGTGGCCATGCATTGGTACTGGTATTTCATATAGGCTGACCAGTGTATCTAGAAGTTGTCCAATTATAGCCATGAATTTTGAGTGTGTTATTATACACCCCACCCACACACACAGTCAGTGACCACTTAGTCAGATCCTTTTCAGTTATATGCATCTCAATTCCTGCATTTCTATGCAGTCAACTTAGATTTTAAGCTATCTAGGGCAGGGACCCTGTCTTCATACAAGTCTGTAAAGTGCTTCTGTTGGTGTTGTATAAATAGCATTAACCACACATATGCACGCACACACACCCGTTCTGAGTGGGGGTGACATTAGATATCTGTGGAAACAAAGTGTTCCCTGCTGAGCCAATCAAGGGATCTGAGAGTTAACACTGATCCTGATTAGAGTACCGATAATTTCCAAGACTGAATGAGGCAAAGGATTCCAGCTTCATCACATGACAGTTTTTAGCCAATACTATGCCAAGAATTTCCTTTGTCATAAGAGACACCATATACCCCAGAGCAGAACCTTGTCAGTTCCTCTGTAACCCAGTCCAAACCTGCAAAACTGATAAAATACATGGGGCCAAGTCTCATTACTCAGGCTATATATTCCATCTGTGAGATTTCCACTCTTTTGGCTTTGATATCCAGGCACTCAAGTCATCATCCAGGCTGCTGGCCAACACCTGAACATTAGCAATAATCATACACACCACAATCCATCTTCATGGTTACCAACATTCCTTACAAATTGGCTTTGCCCCCTGTTGCAGTGCAGCTTTCTCCCACATAACAACTGTTACTTCAAACCGTGCAACCAGGCAGCACAAAAACTTTATGCAGGACATGAAGAGGTGTCTCAGTGAAACTACAGGAAAATGTCTAGGTGTCAGAACTTAGCTACCCAAGTTGGAATTTGCCTAGAGACCAGGATTGCCCATATCCACCATGCAATGGCGATTTTGATGGCCACAAGCCCTTAGAACCCCAGCTTTGTGCATCTGTTCTGAAGGATGGCACCAACAGCAACATAGCATCCCTTAACACCATGCTGAGGATTGGTTCAGTGCAAACCCCCAGCACTACCTACTGACCCAATAACACTGCTTCTTGCAGCCCCTGGGTCACCCTTGGTGACTTTACATCCATGTCCCGGCCCAGTCCCACCTACAACACTACTTACTACTTAAGTAGCGCATACAGGTGGATAAAGCCATTGCCCAAGGCAGAACAGCTGCAAGACAAAAAGTTCATCATTTGAAAGGGGTTGGACAGCTCTTGATTACAAACATCTCTTTGTTGTCAGCTGATCCAGCAAGTAAGCTCCTTCCATTTCTAATCTTCCAACTTTCTCCAGCAAAAAAGGAACATCCCAATCCATTCATCTGCATTGCAAACAGAGCCCAAAGGTCACAGATCCTCAGGGAATCTACAGTTCAAGAAGCAGGTTAACCAAGGGGAAGAAACACAGAGTTTATGGTCTGAGAGTGTTCTAGCCAGGACTCCCCCATGCACACAGGCTGTTCTGTGATGGGGAGGGTTCTTCATCTGCTTAGCCAAAGCCAGGTATTGAGGAGACACGCAGAGACCAGCACAGAGTAGACCAGAAGCTCCTTCTGACGCCAGCCTGTGCATTGCTCCTCCAGATTGCGCAGCCTCCCTGAGATCTTATTCAACTGCAGGAAAAAAAAACAAAAAAACAGCTAAGTCAGTTAAAAACCATAGGGCAAATGAGGGATCCCAGGGCAAGGCAAGGGATGCTGCCCCAGGATGCGTCACTGTAAGGCAGGCGACAGAGCACAGGCCAGCAAGATGGGAGCTCATGGCTACTCCAGTTCTGCTTCTCCCAGCAGCAGCTGTTTTAGGGTAAGAAAGGTCATCATCTCTCTCACAAACACAGCAGGCAATTGCCATAAGTGGCACTAGAAAATATTATTGGGGCGGGGAGAGGGCTGGGCAGTGCAGAGCATGCCTGCCTGACCCTGACCCACCCTCTTGCAGGGCTGTTCCAGGGCCAGTGCATGCTGGCTATGCTAGATCCACTGTTGCCAGCCCAGTTTGTGGGGGCTAAGCCTTCCGCCACCTATGGCAATTGCTGAGAAAAACTAAATATTAGGACCAGCAGTGTACTGGGACCATTAGGCACAAGTGACTGGAATTTACAAGGGGCAAGCTTTTCCCAGTTTTAAAGCCAGCAAAAGCCCTACAGCTGGTTCCAGGTATGAAAGCAGTGTTTATGAGAGGAGCACACACAAACCCAGTCTCCCCTTTCATCAGAGGGGCCTGGAGAGGCCATCACATGAATATGAGCTGTAGAGAAGTCCAGCTATTGGTACTTTACCACTCAGGCAGTTTCCACAGCCTCCAACTGCAATACTTTGCTTCTCTCACTCACCTGTTTTCTCATTGCTATGATCTCAGACATGCCTATCTCCTCCAGGGAACTTTCTGAAGTTGGCCCAGCCTCTTGGGAGCTAGGCAGAAGGAAAACAAAAAGATTCAAATGTGCAAACAGTGCTAAAGAGATGCAATCACATCTTTACCTGTGCAAGAGGGGAGGAAGCCAGTTACACATGCACAAACCATACCTGCCCGATACAGAATCAAAGGACTGAGTATAAACAGCATCTACACAATATCATCTAGCATAGTTCTTTTTAACTAGCACCATGCATATTAAGCCCTTTCAGCATGCAGCTCATCATAACCATCATGGCAAACTATGCTGTGCAGGCTGCTACAGAGAGCAGTACAAATACATGCTTTTATTTTTAGAATCCTGGCATATGGCACATAGATAATGTGATATTTGCCAAGTGTTATTTTTCTATATACACAGTCTGGTGACTGAATAAATTGTATTAGAATAATTCATGCAAATACAAAATATAAGGCTGGAGTCTTAGGTGGAATAAATTAGCACAGCTCAAATAAAGTCAAAGGATCAAGGCTGATTTACTCCAGCATAAGGATGCCATTTAAAAAAAAAATCAGATGAAGACTGTGGCCCAGAGCATCAGCAGTCAGGAAAGGATCTCAGCATAAAGGAGGCTTCTCTGTTCTTGCTCTGTAACCTCCAGATCCAGCAGGCTCCCTCTACTAGACATAAACACTTATTTCCAACATGGGAAAGTCTATTTGTGACTTAATAATGCAGCTGGATTTGGCCTGCTTCTTACATGGCCAAAAATTAAGATTCCCCAACTGGAATTACAGGGCCAGTTCATTCTCTTGTAGCTGCACTGACTTCACAGGCCCTGTGGACTTTCTCTCCCCAGAATTTTGTCTCAGGAAAGGCAGCAATTACCCTTGAAAAAAGTCTGAAGGGGAAAGCAGAGGTGTCATTTTCAGAGTCAGCTTTTCCAACTCAATCTCCTCAAGAGATTCCATTCTGTTCATACACCCAGATTCTCAGCTGACGTAAACGGGTGTCACTTCAGATTTCCACTCTCCTCTGTACACTGGCTGAGGATCTGGCACCAAATGCACTATATGTTATCAAATAGATAAATACCAGTGGGTAATCTTTGTGGATCTGCATTAGTTCCCCTTCCCAACACTTTCTTTGGGAGGTAATCAGAGACATCCAGGATGCAGGAGGAGGTTTGAGAAAAGGGAATCTGAAAATATTTGCAAGACATAACCCTGTCTAAAAAAGCAGAAAACTAAAAATGTGTGATGCAATCATGGCTGATGTCACTTGGCAATAAAACATTAACAACAATGAAAGGCAACAAATTTTAACTGAAAAAAGTTAAAGCAGTCAAAGCTTGTGCTCATTAAAGTAGCGACTGAAAATTATCTTTCACCCCAATTCCTTTTTGCCCATGACTCATAACTTTCAAGAACGTCATTGTAGTGAAAATTTTCCAAGCTGCATCAGACCAGTGTTTTAAGTATTATAAACGTTTGAGCAAAATCAGTTCAGCAACTTTTGCTCTTTTTTTTGTGAAAATAAACAAACTTTTTGCATATAAAAAGTTGTATATTTGGATAAGCAAAAAATAATTGAAATGCATTGTTAGAAACCTGGCTAATTTTAAGACTTGTAGGGCATCTTCAGACCAAAAATAGGAAGCCAGCTTTGAAAAGAATTATTCCAGGAGTTTTAAATCTGTGAATGTCATTTTGTATAACATAACTTCTGCTTCCCTCCTACTACCTCAAACTTATTTAGTTAGGGAGAAAAAGGGCTCTAGTCTGCTGATCACACATACTTATCTATGCCATGGGTGGAATAGTTCAATATAAAAGAATCTGAAAGAGATGACTGAGCTACAGCAACTGATGTCGGGAGTCTGCTGTTCTTCTAAACTCTGCCTTGAAGAGAGCTGCTGGACCAGAAGCCTGTTTAATAGATTTGGGATCACAGAGCTTTCAGTCAAATAACTCTAGATGCCGATTCCCTTTCCCACCTCTAAACCCACTTCATAAAACCAGTGAGGCAGTGTAAGTACAGAAAACCAGCCCTTGTGTAACATTCAAGTATAGCTTCATTTGCAGAGATGCCAGGGAAATTATTTGAAAACTAGGGGTAATCAAGGGAGCTGTTGGTGTTAAAAGCAGCAGGAAGTCACGAGCTTGGCACAGATTCCAGAGTGACTGTACATTGCATGTCCCCTCACTCCATCACTGAAAGCTGGCAGCCCTGATGGCAAGATAGTGAAAAGCACAATATCCTCTAACTGGCCTTCTGAAGGGCTCCTCTCCTGCTGTGCTGATCCCTGCCGTTAAGAAGCATGTGCCTTTTTCATGCCACATGGTGCTGAGCAGTGAGAAGCAGCAGCAGCCCCTGTGCAGGCCTTAAACAAGCCACACAGTCACCTGGGCTGGGCTTGGGGTTGGATAGACTTCTGAACCTGGTGGAAGAGCAGGCGACTCAGGAAGCACATTATCTGGAAGATGTTCTGCAAGGAGTAGATCCTGCCACCGTGCATGAACAGAGGGAACTGCGGGGTGGGGCTGGGCAGTAGGCCTGTGTCTGGCCTGCAAGGTATAATCAGAATCACTCATTATTTCCTTCTCCCTTTGGCTACTTTTTCCCTCCCAGTCCCTAGGAAACAACACAGGGCAGTCCAGGATTTCGTTGCTCTCTGCATCCTCACAATGGCTCACTGTTGATTTTAGCTAGTAAGAGTCTCTTCGTGTATGGTGAGGCTCCACCCAACGATATTAGAGCAAATCAAGCGGGGTACTAATTCAGTGTCAGTACCTTGGCAGCCCAACTTCGGTACTCTAACTTCACTGCCATAGTATCAAACTATAGCTCCTCTAAACGACACCATCAAGACAGGCCAGGACAACCCTTAATGGAGTAAGTCCTAAGCAAAGAGGAAAGTAAAATCTCACTTTCAGGGGGTCAGCAGGCCTGAGTTCTATCCTTGGTTCTACCACTCGTGTGCTTGTACAACATGCATCTGTGCCTCAGCTTCCCCACTATAAACCAGAGACCATACCTCATTCAAGACAGCATTCAGAATCTTAACATACTCCAAATGAATTGCTGGGATGACCTCAGATGGACAGTACTAGGGAAGGTAAATGCAGTACTGAAGATCAGTAAGTGAGATCAACTTTACTATGAAAGGCACAGGATGGCCAGCCTGAAATGAACAAGGCAACCAGACTTCAGCCCAGTCTTTCAGTCCGAAAGCTGATAAGCCTCAGTAACCTGAGAATGCCTCATATGGAGAACCATGCAGGAGAGGGAAAACCACAGTAACTACCAAGGACTTAGATAGTGGCACAGCCCATGTTGATTGCAAAGCGTTCACAAATACTTGCAACTTTCCTCCATGCTACTGCCTGTCATTACCCTTAGACTGACCAGAATCATGCTCCAATATGGCAAGACTGAGAGGCACTATGAGAAATCCCAGCACGGTACAAAAGACATCTTTAATGTGCCATTTCTCTCTTGCTCCCCCAAGCCAGGTCTTACCGATCATGTCTCTCACTTCCACTATGCCAGGGCAGCTGGGCATTTTCACTGTGTGGCCTCTCCCTCTGTGATCTCACATGCTGGGTCTGTGGGAACAGGTACACAAGCAGCAGTGTCAATAAGGAAGCTCCATGAGTCATTTCCTTCACCAATCCCAGGCCTTGGTTCCCTGCGCTCTGCCACTGTCACTCAGGTGCAATAGCCAGTAGAGGTTACCCACCCCTGGCACCATGATACCACAACTGTGGTTCCACTGTGGCACCACCATAGCTGCTGTGAAACTCTAGAACTGAGTGGATTTTACTACAATAGACTAATTTGCCTTCACGACAATGCAAACCAGATTCTGCATTTCTCTTTACTCCAGGAAACCACACAACAGCATTAACAGTTTTGACTGAGGGCCGCAGGCACCAATATCAATTCATCCACAGCTTGGGGGTAAGAATGATAACCTATATATGCAAACCCATCAGGCCTAGCCCCATGGTAACCTTCATCCAATGACTTCTACAATGCAAAATAGAATAGACTATGTTGTAATTATGAAAGCATTTGGTCCATAAAAGGCAGGAACATGACATATTGTATTTAGATCCATGAACACCCTATGCCAGAACATATCCCCACACAAACTTAAAGTGAGATCAGTTGTGCTCAGTGAGAATATATAATAAGGACTGTGTCTACATAAGAGAATCCCATGTGGATGAAAGCCCTTATTAAAGCTGAAAGAATTGTTCAGCCCTTCATCTGAGGTTTGTTTATTCTCTTGTATTGCACTTGGCTTGGATGACAAAAGTAGACTGGCCCTTTTGTAAATGGTTGGCTTGATCACTGACTAATCTTATGCCATGGCACGTGAAGGCAGCTTAAAATATTCTCTTCCCATGAAGGACAAAGGGAGCTTTGTTATTCAATGGGAGCAGGAAAAGGCCCAGTGATCCAGCCTTTCCTAAAAGGATCTTCATTATCAGCAGGTCTTATGGAACAAACTGGATTTGAGGCCCATGTGACTGTTTCACACACAATCAGCTGTTCCTAAAGGAATCCTTTCACTATCATAATGGACCTACGTGACACTGGATGGCTTTTTGTCACAATCATGAAAGCATTTTCCCAGATTTCGGTTCACAGGGAGTTCAGAACATTTGCCAACATAAGCCAGGAAAAGTTAGATGTGATGCTATCGCTAAATGGCTAAACTCTAAGGAAAAACTAAGGAAGCTTTACCTAAGATCCCTGTTAAATTTCAGTGGGACAAAAGAAAGTTAAAGAAGACCTGGTTTGAAGGCCCAGGTGACCAAAACCAAAGCATCTTCCTACAAACACTAGAATCCACTACATTAGTTTTGCATTAAGATTAAGTTTGCCTATTGATTAACTAGTACTGGATTTTTTAATACTGTTTTCATCACAAGTACTGGCAAAGCCAACTCCTTTTTAAGTGTGATACCCTCACTGATAAACTTACAGCACTCAAGAAAGAAAAGAGGCAGTAGAGTGGCCCCTGGGGCAGGCATTCTGCCCCCAAGAGACAGCGAAAGTGGGTATTAGCAACGGGTTAAAATGAAATCAAAGGAATCCCTCCAGAAACCTCTTGCTATGAACAATGTTGACAGACAGAGGGCATGGGTCACCCTTTCAAGCTGCTCTGCAGAGGCTGGAGCTCTCCTTTAACATGCTGTCTGCCATTTCTTCTAAGCCAGGACTACACCCTAACTGCAAGACATTAGAGGGCTGGTACAATAGGACCCAGCAGGAAAAAGCCTGGGATGCATCATCATCCCATCAATTTTCTCCTAGAGACTGCACTACTGTAGGTGGTCATGTCTGCTCTAAATACAATACCGGTCTTTTGCGTTTCTGGGCAGCTGATCTTTTGCGTTTCTGGGCAGCTGATCTGGTGGTGATGTTCAGAAATGGGAGCTCCCTCAGTGGTGAAGGCTGGGTAGAGGAATTCAGGGGCTCATGCAAAACAGAGGAGTTTTCCCCATCATGTGGGACCAGCAATGGCCTTGGACCAGCATCTATTATCTCTATGGAGAGGAAAGAGAAAAAAATTAAATGTATTTCTCTATGTTCCAAAAGGTAACAGCATCATAGTCAGAGCTGGATGGAGGTGATTTCAAAACCTATGGGAGAAGCAACATCACAACCATGGAAACAGGACCTCATCGTACAACATATCTCTGAAGCCCCTGGTGGAAGAGCCTCCAGATAAAGGTCCTGCAAAGTTTTCCCACAGAAGTCCATTTTGGGATTTTCTCTCTCCTTCTTACAATAGTGGCATATGCCCTTCACCAGAGAGTGTGGCTGACTTTGTTAACACACATTTCCCTCCCACCCAAAGAACCAGAGAAATCCCATGCTGGATACTTTGCACTTACATGAAACGGAATCTGCTAAAAGAACTCCTCCATCTCAAACAAGCTCTACCTCAGGCTGAGTTTAACTGTGCCCTTATCAACTGTTCCCTTCTGTGGGCCTTAGACAACAGCTGGCAGGTACTCACAGCAGCAGTTTGAACATGCTGACCAGCTGCCATTCTCCCACAATCCAGCACCTGAAAGAAGTATTCAGATTTCCAGCTTCAAGTCTCCAAAAGCTGCATTACCTGGGGGACACACCAGCTGTACAGAGAACGAGCCAGTCAGCCCCTCAAAGCACAGAGAAGGGAAACTAAATGATACGTGATTCCAGCAGCATGAGCATACTTTGAGTTAGGGGCTGTTTTTCAAGGTGCAAATGACATGGGTTTTTGCTTACCCAGTACCCTGGAGCTGAAGAAGGGAAGTCAGTGCTAAACACAGGTCAGAGCTCCTACCTGCCTGAGTGGAATTGAGGTGACTTTAAACATTGCCTTCACTATGGTGGGCACGTGCATTGTCATGAGCCTTGACTAGGAAACACCTCACCAGGCATACTTTGCTGAAAGCCAAGTGCTCATGAAAATTTTTTACTCCAAAACACTTTTGCCCCACTTCTTCATCTGCAAACCTGCCTGCCATCAGCCCAAGAGGATCTGTCCAAACTATCCCTCCCCATGTCTCTCTGCTGAAACCCATATTCATCACTCTATTTCTTTTTGGTTCACTTACCTTCCCTTTAGCTGCTTAGAATGCAGAAAGTGGTAGCTAAGGTACCCAGCTGCCTCGGGAAACCATGCTGTTCGCATCCTCCCTCACTGCTGCTGGCTTCCCAGTTATCTCCAGTATTCTAAAATTGTGTGTGTGGCGTTCCAAGACGGAGTCACACGGCCCTGGCCAAACCCACACACCTCACGGCCTCCAGCTTGTGCCTATGCTTTCCTGAGTGCAGAGGGGTGCACAGAAGAGGTGAAAGGACATTCTCTCTTCCCTTTTCTCTCTGGAGCTCATGCCATCTTTCTTGAACACTGGTAAACTTTGCTTTGGTGTAAACTGAACACCACCTATCACTTGTTACCTCCCTCCCATTGTCTTACCATTACACCTCACTATGCCGAAGACAAGAGTTCAACATCTTTGTACCTTAACTGCTCCACCTTCTGTGGTTTCACCCTCCAATCACAAGCTGCTGATTACATCACCTGCCAGTGATAGCCTATCAGGGATGTGCATCTGAAAGGATGGGGGAACATCCTCAGCTGTTCTCTCCTGATCCAACAGGCCAGACTCCTCTGCCACCTTCAGTCTGTTGGGCACCTGCATGCTTTGATTGATGGCTTCTGTGAAGCCCAAGTCACACTGGATTCGGTTCAGGTCCAGGCTCCAAAATGGCCACATTGTCACTTCCTTCCTAGGTCACTTCATCCACCTTGATGCCACACTGAGAAAGAGAGTGATGGTAGGGTTACCATATGTCCGGGATTTGGCTTTGCCTCTGCTTTCCCGGCACTTCCTGGCTTGCCCCAGCAAGGAGCTACTTGGGATGTGTGTGTGTGTGTCCATCCGTCCATTCCTGCCAGCACTGGGGCTGCAGCAGGGCAAGGAGGCAGGGGAAGGGGGTGTGGGGTTCTTCAGGGGCAGCAGGAAGCTACGTGGGCAGCAGGGCTAGGGGAGGTGGGGGAAAGGGACTGCGGGTCAGGAGTAAGGGAAACTGGCAGGGCTGGGTGGGGCAGGAGGCTGTGGCTTAGGAGTGAGGGGTATCAACAGGGACGGGGGGTCTGCAGGTTGGGCGTGAGGAGCAACAATATGGTCCAAGGAGCAGGATACTTTGGATCAGGAGTGAGGGGCAGCAGCAGGGCTGGGGGGGTTGTGGCTTGGGAATGAGGGGTAGGGGTAGGGCATGGGCATATCACTGCCCCACAGTCATATACCCCCTCTCCCTCTTCCCCCCACAGGTATCCTTTTTTTTGAAAATGGAAATATGGTAAGTCTCATTTAAAAACCTAGGCACACCTTGCCAACGCACATGGAGCAGGGCACAATGTAAAGTACTATTAGTATAGAAGTATCCAATATAAGCCAGACTGTGTGTTAAATTCTAAAGAGCACCCCTGCTAAGATGGAGAGGAGGGCTGACAGTGACTAAACACAGAAGTTCCGGGATGAAAAGAGATCAAGCTAAGTAGTTCCTCTGTGTAACTGGATTAACAGACATGCTCTGTACTTTGAGATCCTACAATGAGCCGACCAGTAGCCATTCTCTCAGGGTGAAAACATGATGGTAAGATGGGGAGAGGGGCTCCATAGCTCACAGAAATAACACAGCCACAGGGGAAGCAGCACAACAGAACAGACAGAACAGAGCGGGCACAGAGTCAGCTGCATGTTCTCAAACAAGTCATGGCCCCTCTCAGTGCTTCAGTTTCCCCTTGAATATGCTGAGCTTTGCCATGTAGATGTGCTTTGTAAGGCTTCTCTGGCTGACAAGTGCTAGTACAGCGTGCTAAAGCCTATGGAGTAAATGGGGGAAGGTAAAGCACAGCCCAACATCTTTGAACAGCTTTCCCTAGTGTCCAATGTGGAAACGCTTTGCTCTTTTTATAAGCTCAGAAGCACCTGGGGGAAGCCTGAGAAGCAGAGGCAACAGAGAGGTGATTTCCATGGGCATTTGTACATGACATGGTGTTTTGTCCTCGTTGATTTACTGCGCCTTTAAAATTTTAGTGACACTTTTCTGTTTGCACAACATGCTCTTTTGAGCAACATAAGTCCGATGTGTCATTCCCCACAGACTCCAGCAGGGGGAGCCAAATACCAATCTACCCCCCCCCCAATGTCTTTCCTAATGAATTACAGCAGGAGGCGCATGTGAACCAGCCTCCACAGTCTCCACCCCCTGCCCCCACCGCAAGTCTCCTGCTAAGTCCTCCCCATCCCCCGGCACGGTCACCTCAAAACCCTGTCACTTGCACCCGCCTGGGCTAGGGCCAGTCTCTCAGGAGGCAACCCCCACGGTGATCCTGATGACAAG